ATACAATATTGATTTTAATATAACAAACGTATTTTATTATTAGTACATAGGTACGGCACGTACGTGGTTTTCCGATAGGGGGGCTCTCTGATTCTTTATTTATAAAATAGTTATAATTCGGTTGATGTTAATATTATGTTTGACGACTGCCGAGTTCAGAAAAACAGTTTCAATGCTTTTAACTGTGAATCATATTTTAGTATTTTACCACTGAAAGATCTTTTTAATTTTTGAAAAAAAATTTCTTGGGGTCAAAATTGTTTTTAATATAATGGACATTGGACACACTTATAATTTATACGTCTCGTCTTCGTCTAACTCTCATGCACATTCATTTCGACATTTTTATAGATATAGGTAGATAAAGTATAATAGATCGATTGGCAAAAAATAAGAATCAAAAATGAATAAAAAATCCATTATTGTTTTTTTTTTCCGATTACTTTTTTTATGACTTTAATATACAAGGTTATTGCAATAATACACCCCCCCCCCCCCCTATATAATTTTATCACGTTAAGGAATTAAAATGACAGCGTAAGAGGACGACCTATACTGGCTATAATATGATATTATTTATTTATTTAAATTTTTAATTAATAAGCAATATGTACAAAAAAGAAACAAGATCTTATTGGTTAATTACAAGTAGCAGTCATAGGTACATCTTATAGAATACTATAACATTATGTAAATAGTATAGTTAAAGATAACAACATAACATACACATTATAATAATCATAAAATATTAATAACATTTGATATATATACATTAAAGGGACTATATTTTTCAAGAGAACAAATCTACATTATACTTGTTGACAAGACGCATTAATACGGACATTTTGAGCATAGATGTTGGACGGGTTGGCAGATAAAATGTATTGGGTTACCTAGTACAAGAACCAGGAACCAGGAAATTAAATTTAGCTAGTAGTTCAGAACAATCGATAATACCATTTAATAATTTAAAAATAAAACAAACATCAAGTGTAACTCTCCTAGTTCCGAGAGTTTCTAATTTGGTTAATGATAATAATGGCGAATAAGATGAGTGTCGTTGGCGTTGCACACCGCATTTAAAAGCAAGAAAACTTTAGAAACGATTGTGAATCGCTTCCATAGCTTCAGCAGGACCGTCCAGACATACCTACAATAAGGAGACCAAACAACATAATTATAATCAAGTATCCAGCGAACAAATGAAGAGTAGTATAGAGATTTTAGAGCTGTTGGATTATTGAAATCACTTATCAGAATATATAATATGAGGGGTGGAAATCCAAAACGTACTATTGCCAAAATTGACAAAAACGAGATTGATATCGATTCTTATAAAAAATACGTCGACAAATCGATTGGTGTTGTCAGAATAGACCTAAACGTACTATTTCCCGGTCAAATCAGCTGTTAAAAATGACTGCTTAATCCAAAACGAACTTTTTCCATGCATGAAAATTATATTTAGATAATCAAAACGTACCTTTTCCAGTTTTACGAAAAAACGTACTATTGCCCATGTTAAAAGAATAGGCACCAACCATTAACTATACCAAAACGAACTATTTCCGTAAATCATTCCAAAACGTACTTTATTTTATGTTATGTCAAAACGTACTATTGCCCGTGTTGTAGGTATAAGGATATAAAATAGTTAAGACAAAACGAACGAAAATATAATTTACAATTTATAATATTAAGTTATTATCACAATCATTATGTTTGAAATTAAATTAAAAATAGATATAATCCTAGATTATTAAACACATTTGAGTCATTTTTAATAGAAATAATATATTATTAAATAATTTAAAAAACCTTCCTTGTCTTCAAAATGACTTGTCTATTTATAAACGGTTTGTTTATATTGATAATGAATTCCGAAATAAAATTTTTATGAGTTTGTAACTTAAAATAATTTAAACATTTTCGTGATTTTTACATGTTTTGTCAACATTTGAAATTCAAATGCTTATAAAATAAATTGGGACTATGGATTTTTAATATTTTTCAATCGTCATTGTAACAATATATTAAATTGTATTAAATTGTCAAGCTTTTTTACTCAACAAATACGATTTTATTGACATTCATAGAAAAACTAACTAAAAAACTTGAAAACTGGAAATGTTCGTATCCAGTTTAAAACTCATCAAAATATTTTAAAAATTTTTATCGAGTATTGAAAATGCTAATATAAACAACTTGACAAAATATCGTGTTTCTGCGGTCATTAATTGTTTTAGAGTTACACCAAAAACCAAAATCGATTTTGTCGAAAACCGATTTTGTGTAAAAATTCCCGTTTTTCCGGGTGCTTTTGACAATTATTACAATAATTTTACTTTTGACTTTAATTATAATTATCAATTAATTATATGAATATTTAATAAATAATGTTTCAAATAAAAATTCCAAGTATAAATTCATTGTAGAAGTAGTTACTATTCAACATTTTAAAACTAACGAAGAAACGTAATAAAATATATTTCTGCTGTGTTAGTGAAAACAAAAATCATATTATATTTTTTAAAAAAAATGTGGGTTGAAAAATATGAATTAACTAACCTAACCTATATGAATAATATTCAATCGTCTTCATGAAGATAATTTTATGATTTACATGAAAAGATACATATTTTAACGAAGTGGCCACGAAATAAACACATTTTATACTATACATTTGTTTAAAATAATATTATACTATACACCCACTATAATTTAAAAAGCTATAGCGATTTTACTCTGTACGGCATACATTTTCCCGTTATGTTATTAATATAACAGTCCTAGATAATGCTATCTATACACACCAAAATGTATTTTTGTCTGTCTGCCTATATAGACTCAAAAACTACTGGACTGTTTTCAATACAAGTTATATATCTAACCTAACCAATAGATTCCTTGGGACTTGGAGGTTGCTTATAAGTTATAACTTATGTTTTCAACCCCGATATGTATAACTAAAGGACATCTCACAGTTCATACATGAGTTTAGTTTCCAGCTCACGAGAAAAGAATTTATTTTGTTATTTTTATTTATTGGGTTGCCGTATTTATTTACATATTACTTTTCTAAATAGTAGACATATACTGCATATACATTAATACATTATACATTTTCACAAATATATTTTTAATAAAAGCAAATTTTTGGCAGGGCGGGACCGCTAGTTATGTATATATTACGGGTAATGTTAACATTTGGTTAATGAGACATTAGCCAACTGTCATCATAAGCCGCCATGAATATTGGCTAATGTTAACATTAACCGGGTCGTATTAGCCAAGAACTTTTGGATAATGTTTTAACAACCATAAAAATGTATCATATATCATGAGATGCAATAATTCATATTATTAACAATATTAATTATATTTAAGACAACAACCATAAAATACAAAATATTAATAATATGAGTTTAATTTTAATTTTAAACAACTTAACCTACTAATGATACATAATGTGTTATCCTTAATTATTACACGGCATGTTTCCGTGACATTTTGAATTGCACAAAATGCTAGATGCTTTACATTTACATCGATTGGTATCACATTTCCCCTTACATGAACACCTTTTATATCAATGATTTTTCTACATGTACCAATTCATCAAGCGGTATTAAAGACAACAGAAAAACACCAAATGATTTCTGGTGTATAATTGTGGCAAAGTACCAAATTTATTGCCAAGTTTATAATATTGCCCATCCTCAATAGACACAACTGCAAATATAATATTTCTCGGGTCTGCTCGTCCTCTGTCGATATCCGGTAAAGAGACTCTCACACTGTCACCAATGTTGGCTGGAGGGGGGGACTTATGGATACAATAATAACAAAAATATCGTGCAATTAAGATAAATATTAAGCCCATATATATTGTTCACTTTATTGGTGAGATAAAGTACTGCTGCACTATATTATAGCAGGTATACCTACGATTAGCGTTAAACTCATAGTTCAAATAATCTACTGATGGATGGATCTACATGTGTACCTAATCGATAAAATATAAAATTATTACACGTATACATTACACTCGGCCCTACATGGTATAAAGAAATAGTATTCAGTTTTCACTTTTAACATTATCCAATGTTGAATGGCTAATGTCGACATTATCCGGATGATGTAAATATTTCATTAATATAAACGAAAAATTACACATTAACCAAAATGCATGGCTAATGTCAACATTAGCCGGATAATGTTGACATTATGCAAATGTTAACATTACCCTTAACAAATATAACCTAATAATTATCTATATCTACGACCGAGTTTGGAATATGTATAAAACATACAATTAATTACCTATATTTTATGTAACTTTTATAAAGCACTCAATTCAAATGGACAAGTGTTTTTTTTCTTCAAGTTTTAAAAATATGTCTACACCTTCATGTTAAATGTTAATGGAAAAAATATATATTTTACAGTAGGTACCTACAATACTAATCAGTAATCACAAATGTATATATGTATTGTAAGCAATTATCTGCAGTTCTGTCGTTATAATACACTATACCTACCTATATGGGTAGGGCGTTTCCTTAATATTTATCACATTGTTGTTTACCCTATGTCGATTAAAAGCATTCCTAAAAAAAAGACATTAGTATTAAATTATTGGCTATTTAGACTCGTCTGGCAGACAATGGAAACGATTTGTACTAATCGAAAATTCTCGAGTCTTAGTTAGTATATTATAGTCGTTCGTGCACCGTGCGTGTGCAGAGTTTCGCTACCGCGTAATGGGTATTATTTTTTATATTTTTTACGAACAGCCTTATTGAATATTCATGAAATATTATTTTATTCCACTCCGACATTCGAAAACCGACAACTCTAGTGTAATATATATAAATATATAAATAGGTATTTATAATTTAAATATATTGCTGTGACAAGGAGAATATTTCACTGTTGTTGCGTCGTCGTGGTTGATCCTGTACCTACCTACATTTTATAAGGCTATAATATATAAACGCATGCAAGGCACTGCAGATAATATACCTTCAGCAGACATGGCCGATCAATACGGAATTAAAACTGGAACGTCTTCTATGGAGAGGTATAACCGTAACATCCAGTCCGACCACGGTGAGCACACTTACAATAATTTAACGAGTACCTCGTTATTTTCGGAACCCACTAATACTCGGGACAATTTTACTGATCATAGTAATATCATACAAGATCTCCAAATAAACGTATCTTCGTTGAGTCTCGCATACGGGATATTTAACGATATGATGCATAAATTAAACGATGAATTGGTCAAAGTTAAAAACGAGAGAGATGCTATGGCTAATGAAATTAAGATGCTAAGAGTTTCAATCGATGGTATTCGTGAATTGTTGGGTCGAAAACTGGACGATGGCTTTTATAACGTTGCGGCGGAGGTTCAAGAGCGGTATGAAAGATCTAAGAATATATTAGTTTTCCATGTTCCCGATTCGGAGGATGAGACACCAGAGATGTTGCATGCTGTCGTCGTTAATTTACTGAAGGTTTTGAAATATAGATATGACTTCCCGGAAATTAAACGGTTAGGTAATTATCGTGGAATGATTCGTCCAATTCGAATGATATTTAAATCGACTGATTGTGTCCAGATGGTTTTGAAACATAAAACTAAACTTCATTCTTCGGAATATTTTAAAAACGCTTGGATCGGAGAAGACAAGACAATTACCCAGAGGCTTAAATTTAAATCTCAACCTCGTCAATCATCGGAAACCAATGGAAATAATGAAATTCAATATTGATATTCAGAAGAAAAAAATGTTAACTCTATTTTATACATTTACATTAATTGGGTGTACTTTATGCGTAAAATAATAAATAATAATATATACCTACCTATACATTAATATGTAACATTAGTTCAGCAATAATAATATTAATGTATTTTTTCTTTTCAGTTATTATCACTAAAATAAAATAGATTACCTACATACCTAATATAGGTTGCTATTAAATTTTTTTTAAAGTAGGTACGAACCCGAAGGTTGAACAATAATTATTTTATACAACTTGAGTATAATAATAAGTATTGGTAAATAATGTTATAATATATAATATATTATCTTTATTGTTGATATTAAATATTACTTAATACACTTCTTGAAAAACGAGATAATACAAAAATCAAAATTTAATTTCAAATCAATTTTCTAAAAAAATCGTATCTACACACACTTTTTAAATAAAATATTCCGTATTGGAAAAAAACTACTTAGAAATTTTAGGGACCGGGAAAATTTTTTGTGGGGTTAGGTTAGGTTATGGTTAGGATTGTTATCTTAACTTAGATTATAAATTCAATTTTTGTGGTATTGTTTTTTATAATCAATTTATTTTTTAAGATTATAAATCAAATACACAATAAGTCTATACCTAAGTAATTACTAATTGTTGATTAATATATATAAATCTTATAAGACGATAATTATGTCAAGCCCCGGAAGCCCTCCTAGCCACCCCCCCCCCCCCCCAATAGTGTGCTTTTATAATGTTATTATTCTTTAATTTTTATATGTATACCATTGTGATAAACTTTTTTTATTATTGTATTATTATTAACTATACTTAAGAAATAATTATTCATATATTTTTTCACACACATATGACAAATATATATTATTACATAATTATGTACATTGTAATATCTACTTAAAGCTATTTAATCAAATATTTTATCGATAGTAATGATTTTAAATTATTACAGTGTTTATTTACTAAATAATTGAAAACTTTATCTTAATTCAGAAACTGTGTTTTTATTAATTTATTTTCATTATTAATTAATTCCTTGTGAAATATATGTAGAGTACATATTGTATTCTACTTTACTTAAAAATGGAGATTTTAGCTTTCACACAATAAATAAACAATTATATTGTACAATTTTATTTACGAATATTTACTAAGTACAAAAACATAAAATGTTTACGAAATATGAATGATATTATATTATAATTCAAACTATAGTGGTACTCATAATATTGAACCTGGATTAAAACAATCAAAAGTAAACCTGTGTGCAAATTCAAGTTCTGAAAGTACGAAAAAAAAAATAATAATTAAATATAGGTATATTTAATAAAATATGGATTTTTTACAGTTTCCATCTACCAAAATAAATAACTTTGAATGTGATTCAGGTAAGTATTACATTTATATAAATTAGTTATTGTATACAAGGGTTGTTTTTTGCAGATATAGATAATTTTACTAAAATAAAATAGAAATTAGATACCTATATTAAATGTATATACATTTTTTTTATTATTTTTATTTAACTTTTATAGCTACGGATACGATAGATTAGCTTTTCGTCCTAGATAGTGTAGTTTTCTTAAATAGATAGGTATAGTTGGTAGATATTTATAGACTGATGCATAGGGGGAGAGAGCACTTGGGGTTAAGGGGGAATTATAACCCCCCAAAACTAAGCCAAGTCCCCGGCCCCAAATCAAGTCCTCACCATGTAAGTATAAAGTAAATACAATTTTTATATTTTTTCTACAACTTTGAAAATAAACCTAATAAAATATATTGAAATTTATATTTAATTTCATGGTTAAATATTTCTAAATTTCTAGTAGGGAATCATAGGCACAAACAGAGGGATGGCCGGGGACGCGGGCGGGGGCTAAGCCCCCAAAAAACTAAAGATGAAAATATAATATAACATGAAACATTTTCTTCTCTACATCAAAATTATTCAGCCCTCCCCATCAAAATCTCAAACACTATTACCGCCTAGGGTGATGTATACACTGACGATAAGAATTTTTATTTTTTCCGTTGATAATAAGGTAAAAGCTGAATATTTTGACAAAACCTTGTAATATTTTATTGTTTGTGGGTTTATCAGCTACCTAATTTATATTTTTAATAATATCATAAACATTATATATTATAATAAATCTTAGTTCATGATAGATAACTATTATTATGCTTATGATGTGATAGCTTATAAATTTAGTGATGGTAATAATTTTAAATAATATTTCAATCGATATAAGAATACTAAGGTTAAATTTCAACTATTTTGCACAATTGCAGACTGAAGTCAAAGACACGCAGGTTATCGGTTCCCACCTATTCAAGATTTTGGCATACCATTGAATTTTTTTTTACTGTTTAAAGTTTTAAACAGACTAAAATGTATTGTTGTGTTTAAAATAGTTTAAAATCCAAAGAAATATTGTGTATGAAATATTTTGTTTGGTTCTCTTATCGATTGGAAATAATATTTTATGAAAATCGTATAGGTACCTCCCTACTTGTGCAGTTGTACATACCAACATAATAACATAACGCATTATGTGCGAACTGTGTATCTCTGTTTATAACTTATGAAAAAAAAACATGTAGGTACATGTAGGTATATTATTACTAAGTATATTAGTTTTATTGAAGATTTCACACCAGTATAGTATAATATATAATAGCCGCAGTATAGTATAAGTATAGTCTAATAGCAGCAGACGGACAACAAGGACATTTGCATTATGCAGAACCAATATGGCAATATGTTGTGTTGTTAACTACTTGTTAGTTTTAATATAAGGTACAGCGAATTTATTGACCTAGTATCAAGATTAAAGGTAAGTACCTACCTATTATTTTAAAAATGAATAAAAGTATAAAACACAGTAGTTTTAATGTTACATACGTTTAAAATTAGCAATGATAGTAGGTACTATATTATGCAGACCGTGTGACAGGCATTATATAGCTATACTATAAATACCTGGGTAATATATTATTTATATTATATTATATAAATTGATTAGGTGTGGATCTAGTTAGGTTAGGCAAGAGAATTTTTAAATTTTTTTTTCGGAAACCTATATGTGTTACAAACAAAGAACGATAGCGCAAAAATTTAATTCCAGAAATCATAAGTTTTTATGGTATAGCCTTACGAAGTTCACGATTTTCGGTGTTTTACACACACGCATAAGGCTTGTAGTTTACTGCGCCTATAATGGATTTTCAATTATTTTATTTTGAAACCTGACTAAATCAACGGCTTAAAAATTATGGTGTAAAAATAATTCTTACCCATGATGGTTTTACATAACAAGTAGAGGGATGATTTCGATTTTATAATTGTCCGAGCGAGTGAGTGACCACGCCGGGTGTATATAAAAATACCATACATTTCTATTAGCTATAACTATGACTTCCCCATCGTTTTCAGTATGCCCCACTGCATAGGTACAATAAACAAAAAAAAAATTTTAAAAAAGGGTTCCAACAAAAAAGTTCCAAACGCGCGGTAAAATATTGCGTTGTACACGTCATTACATAAAACACCGAAAATCGTGAACTTCGTAATAGGCTATAACTTAAAAACTAATGATTTCCTTAAGTTCATTTTTGCAATATCGTTCTTAACTCGTCGTTAGTTATATCTTTAACATAAGTTTCCCAGAAAAAAAATTTTAAATTCTAAGGGTGCTAAGCTAGATTTTTTCCATAACTTAATATATTATATACTTAACCTATACGGCTATAATACTAAGGTTTATAATTTTCTATTTGTTATCCTTATTAAATTTTATTTTTATTTTGTAAACAGATGGAATATATTTTGAATAAAAAAAAAATAATAAACTTAATATACCCATCCGAATATATTATATATTTATATACCTACCTATATATTTTTAATTCAACTTTTGCATTTTTTATTAAATTATTTATTGTAAGTTGTAACCAAACCAAAAAAAAATCATTTTTTGTCAGAGAGTGATAGTCGCTCGCTCGTGGTGTCCACTGGATAATGTTAAGTGGCTGTCATACAAATAATATAACTTATAAATTATAATTAATAGTCTCTGATGACTGTTGAGCGCAATTTACAACATAGAAAATTATACCCGAATATATTGCGCACAATAATTTACAATGTTTTCCCTTCGTTGGGCTTGATTTACGTTTGTAAACTTTGAACGTCTGTAATTTTTAACTAGGTAGGGGAGAGTGGGGCAGATTTGAATGAAATTTACATTTAATTTTTTTAATTTTTAATTTTTTGATAAATTTTATGTTTGATAATTACAATCTGTAGTCTAGATAGTTGTGAATACTATTTGACTTATAACAACCATATATATTAAATAACCAATTTAATTTCTAATTATAAAGTGAAGTATATTTTTATTCAAATGTACCCCACCCATGGGGTACATTTGAACGTGCAGGGGGTAGATTTGAATATGTGACTTAAAAGCCACATTTGAATGTTAAATATTAAATTTAATTAAACTTTTTATTTATTATAATAATAAAAATAACTCAATATAATATAACAACAGTTTTTTACAATTATGTTTAATGTTTTCTTGTCAATTTTTTTTTTATTGTGAAAATGTAGTTTTTTTGGGTTTTCTTATAGATAAATCCACATCTTGTGACATAAATCCAGTTAACTAGTATATTCCATCCATAAGATAGGTATTTAAAAAAGGAGGAACCTTTATTACACCCTATTATCTACCCTATTGATGAAGATTCAAATCTACCCCATGCCAAAATAATCAATAATAATCGTAATATAAATTTTAATAATTATAAATAATGTATGTACATTAAATGTATTACTAGGCAACAATATTTTGAATAGGTATATTTAATTCTAAACTTATGATTTTGAATTTTAGTTTCCAAAATGTTCTTATGGAAACACCTATTTTTTTTTTTAAAAAGCCGGAAAATCACATTATCATTTTTATTTATCACAAAATTGTTCAAAAATGCCTGATAATCACATATGGCATACAAAATATTGTCACCAACTTAGATTATTATTTTTATGAATGTAAATAATCTGTAACAAATTATATTAGACAAATTCAAATGTACCCCGCATTCAAATCTGCCCCACTCTCCCCTACCTACTTGTTTCCATATATTTATTTTTACATATTCGTATTTCGCAGGTAATCAATAAGCATCAAAAGTTCGATTTAAAAAAATTGATATCTAAAACAGTGGTGTCTGCATATTATTTTGTTCCGATAACAATGCTAAAGAGCGTAATATTTGTCAAATTGGCAATCGTCGAAGACCAAGTCCGACCAGTGACCCACATAATATTCTGATCATCGTTATTAACTATATGTTCCAAAAAAAAAAATTAAAACATGACAAGCTAAATCAAATTTGTTCCCTTAGAAACCACAACAACTCAAAATACTTGTTGCGGCCGTAACACTTAGACACTGGCCACTGGTTTTGGTTAGGTAAAAAATAAAATGTGTCGGAAATAGTACTGGTAACTACTAACTATACGGTTCTCTTTTCTTGTGATCGATAATTGAATATTTGGGGAAACATTTCATCTAATAAGATGCTGTGTTTATTTCATATTTCATATTATATTTCATATTATATTGATAGACTGAATGAACCGCCCAGTATGACACACAAATCGCTTTCTGATTCGGTAAGTATTGATCGGTAAAATGAAAAAGTAAGTGTATAGTCATGGGAACTCCGAAGTATGACGCTAGGCGATGTCGCCCTCGTCACGGCTGCGCATTACATAATCGTCACACTCGTATTTTAATAGTACTTACCTAGGTACTTATATTAAATAATCAATTATATATTGATATTTTATTATATTTTTCACGCTCGTATTGTGTATAAATTATAAAATACGTCATAAATAATATCAATAATATTGTAACCTGTGACCTATATTCTAAATATCCAACCTGCAGCGGACGACCACCTGTGCGATTACGCAGTTACGAACTATCATTTCGATCGTCATCGTCGTCGTAGTCGTCGTCGTGTACTGTGTGTTCTTGTTTCCTCTCAGGCGCATGTAGTCCCGACGGACCGCAGTAGCTCGTAGTAAAATTATTTCAATTTCTTGAGTTTGACGCAATTCGCCATTCCTCTTTTCCAATACACACGATAATTACATCACCGATCTCCATAGCATTTGGGTTACGTCCGTTTATCTAGGCCCTAGGGTGAGTACGTACGATTAGTAATCCACATATTATTATTATCATCGAGTATGTAAAACGGTCTTAAAAAATTTGATTGCCCGTGACTTTGCGATGTCTTGTTGACAGCGTTCCCGTTACATGCAAAAAATTTGGTTTAGTCGCTTCGGTAGGCGGTCTAGCATTCGTCAAATTAGCTCAGTTTAGTTTGTTCCTAAGTTAGAGGGACAATTTCATCATGTCTGCCAACAATAGCATCCAGATCAATATACAAGACAGCATGTACTTCAGATTCTCAACGAAATACATGCAATTGTTTCCCAGAAATGTAAGGAGAGTTATAGAATTTGTGTTTCTATTTGAGGTAAGTTTTCATATTATACCTACCTACCAAACGTCAGTGTTTAGAACTACCCAGTGTTGTAATATTTTTGATTTTTGATTTTAGGCAATATTAGTCTCGTATGCATTTGTTAATTTTCATATTACGTTAGCTCAACCAGCTAATTGCTTGGACCATGTCATAGATATTTGGCCCAAAAGTGGTATACTGAGAGTGGAGATAATTCAAAATTATGAACGGTATCCGGAACAAAAGTACAAAATAAACAAATTCTTAAAAGTAGAAAATACTTTTGAACGTGAATACAGATTAGAAAATGTATTATACAAAATAAATGAGAATTTTTCACTGTTCAATAATTTCATTAAAACGCCTAACCCTGAGTAAGTACCCAAAAATTATTAATTTTAGAAAAAATGGTCTCATTGTTCTTAATGCAATTAATTAATTTAATACCTAGGTATTAAAAACCAATCTTCTTAAAATATATCTACCTACTAATTAAGGCGCCTGGTGCTAGTATAATTTTGCACATAAAAATACGCTCTACGGGAATCGTGATTCTGTTCTATAGAATCAACTAAATTTGACAATTTTTTTTTAACTTATAGAGGGTAACATTCTACAGGCCGCATCGAACTCCGTCTTTCAATATTTTTATCTCCAACTTTTTAACTTGTCAAAAAAAAAAAGAAAATAATACAATTTTAAGCTTTTTTTTTATAAATTATATTACACCATTATTTGAAACAATCGAAGTTTGATGCGGTCAGTAGGAAGTTTTCTTCTTTCACATAAAAAAATAGTTATCAAAATCTGATAATTCTAAAAGGCCTGTGAATTATTCCCGTGAAGTAATTGTTTTCGATATAATACACTTTATCAACCACTCCTAAGTAGGTATCGGGTAGTAGATAAATGGAAAAAAATTATAATTGAGGTGGCAACTAAAATGTAAAATTTTATATTAAAATTTTATAGAATTGTGGAAAATGTGAAAAGCTGTCACCAGGCCCTTTAAAAACCATATTTTATTGATATTTAAGTTTATAGAAAAGTCCCTAATCTAAGGATATTATTAAATACTAGGTACCTACCAATAATTTGTTTTAACATTTTACAAAACGTGGTTGTGCATATTACATAATATGTTTCTAAGGGTTTTCTTTGACTTTTTAAATTCATTGATATTTTTCTTTATAATTATTAATAATTATAATTAAATAATGATACGATCATAATTTTATAGTAGAATGCTGAACAAAAAGATAAACTTGTCGTTTAGTATACATTTTGTATACATCTACATTGGTGCATGTAGGTCTATTATACCTATTGTTATCACAATTAATTTGAAAAATATTTTCAAACTTAATCTCTGAATATATTGTATTTCTGACTGAGTTAAGTTATAATAATTTATACAATGTCATTTGTATTAATTGGTATTCATTTTCAATAAAATTGATTATGATGGGTTATTACTAAAGTTAAAAATCAAACATTTAGTTTATTTTAATACATTTAAAAACTGCGTCTTCTTTGTATAATTTTATTAAAAAACATGTCCATTTTCATAATGTTTTTTCTTTTTTATTATGATTGATTTTAAGCTGTTTAAACTACATATATTTTAATTATATGTTAAAATCTCATTAATAATAAAAAAAAAAAAAACTGCATAATACGAAACAATCAAAACTTATTATATTCATTATTATATTAAAATTAATTTGCAACACATCTGGTTAAATCCTAATTACCATAATTATTATTACTTGAACATTAACTAACATTATAGCTGAACAATTTTTATATCAATGTTTGAAAATCTTTCTAGTTAAAATTATTATTTATAAATAGTCAATAAGATAATATTAGGTAGGTAAAACAAAAAATTTGTATTTAATCTAATTTTATTGTACTTTTCTTTTTTTTGTATAGTTTATAAATTATTAGATTTAATTAAATCAAAATATTTTTAAACAGTGCACTTTATAATTATTGAGTGATGATTAGAATACTTATATATTGTTAAATAATATATTATGTACTATAGGTTTAACGATCGATTACTATTAAGTGAAATAAAAAGTGAATTTAAAATTATCTTATAACTAAATATTTTTTTTTAGGAAAAATGAAGAAGTTGATATTGAACCTTCAACAGTAGAGTTAGTTGAAAATAAATTTCGAGAGACTAGCACCCTAAAACCTAACTTATACTCAGAACCATTTACAAATAACATAAATGTTGAAGGTACAATTTATTCTAAGTAAACGTGAAATAAGAATATTTACTATTTAATATATGTCGTGTTTGTATGTGCAATGGAAAAAGTGGTAGCGTTTTTGTAGTTTGTGGTTAATTAAATTTAAGCACAAATATATAATTTTAAAAATCAAATTCACTTCCAATTTATTCATACTTTATTTCATTATTAAAAGCATATTATTTTATTTCATTTATTGCTAAAATGTTATAATGAAAATAAACTACACTAAAAATGTGTTGCGAAAAATTATACCACTTTTTATGTACACTTAAAACTAGTTAAATTGAATTACATTTTACGGTTTTGTAATTTGTAAGAAGATAAAAAATGTTTGAAGCTTTTAAAAAGATTTATTTTATTTTGTATTGTGTTTACTCTTGGTTGTATGAAAATATGCTTGATAGTTAAGAAATCATTGCTCAAAGTACACTTTTTGAATGTGTGTGTTTTTAAAATTCAGTCACAGTGGCATGCAGTGGTATTTGATTAATTGAAACTTGGTAGGTGTCAAAAAAAAACCCCCAGTTCAACAACAATAACCTTATTATACTGCGTATTTGTACTTATAAAAAAAAAAAAATGTTTGGTATCAAATAATCAGTTTCTAAAAGTATTTATAATTTCCCAATGTAGCACTCCCAACTGCTGTGTAAAACCGAGGTCATCCTACCCTATCGCAACTGGCATTGTGGCTTGCATACAGTATAAAGATACACGCCGAGTAATTGAAATCCCAAGCGTTCTGTCAACATAATATTGGATATCTATTTAAATTTCTAATTTTTAGTATAGTATAATACCGATAATTGAGTATATTATAACCTGATTAATGGCAATTGACATTATAAAATAAATTTATTTATTTTCTTCCTTTTCAAGCGATAATGCGGCACTACCTCACTTGTCCTGACTGCACGCCACTGGTCAGATACATTAATTATTGTGAAGAAACCCATTTAAATTTAAGATAAATGTGTTAGTGTGTTTCAAATTTTCAAATTACCTTTTGTTGTTTTGGGATTGGAGATATCTATGGTTTGCCATTATTTTTGTCATATATTATAATTCATTGTTTTCTATTATATACATTTCTGAATGCATGTAAGTGTGGTAAATTTATGTGTTATTATTTCATTTACTGCTTTATCTGCCATTTAATTTTTTTTTTTTGGTATAAAATGATATCAAAAAGAAGTCAATGTTCTTGAATATATATCATTTGGAAAAATACAATTGGACATAATATTATATTATATTTTAATGCCTTTAAGTAAATTAAAGGAAAATATTGATAAAATAAAAAACATAACTGTACAAAATATATATGTAAAAATAACTAAATATTTTAATCCAACCTTATTGATAAATATATTTATGATGTTAGGTTATTACTTATTATAATATTATGTTAGTATTATTGGGTAATTTAAAGGCACGTATACACAATTGAAAAAGTTTAACCTAATAGTACAGGGGTGGCCCGAATGTGGCTCATGTCATTGACTCATGCCCGTCTTTACATGTTTACTAATATTATTTACTTTCCTTTTCCTGCTCTTTATATTATTTGTCATTATATTGAACAGCTCGTTGGCCACCCCTGTAATGGTACAAGTGTCCAAATTATGATACACTATGTTGACAATGACATTATTTTAAGTTCAACTAACTTAATTATATCACAAAGTTAAGATGACATCGTACCCGCAAGTGTTGTCCCCATCTTACTCACGTACGACATAGGACATTTCCGATAGCTAGTTTCGATAGTGTGCAGTCAGTTTCGATATTAAAGTGAATAGACCTATTATCAAAACTTTTAAGTGAGCCATGAGCATTTTTCAAATATTAATATTTTACATAATGATAACTCACTTAATAAACAAACAAGAAAACACAGATAATGTTGTTACCTAAAAGTTTGATAATAGGTCAATTCACTCCAATATCAAAAATGACAGCACCCTATTGAAAATAGCAAATGAAAATTTGCTATGTAGTTCGTGTTACATGTGTAAAACAAATCCAACACATGCGGGGGGACGTCTTCTTAAAAAATTGTGGTTATCATTTTTTTTTTCAAAATGCTGCATTATACTATAAAATTATCAATAATTGAGTGATATTATTGTTTTACCATAATATGAGTAAGATTTATTTTAATTGTCATTTGTTGTTGTGTTAATGTTATGTTATGTTCATAATTACATAAAATTAGTAGGTATTCTTTATAGCTTTCATAAAATTAAAAATAATATTTCTATTGATTAATGATTTCAGTACTTATTATTTATCAAATTCTTCTCATTCATATACGAAATCTATATAAATAAAACTAGTTTTTATTTATAATAATAACAATTTAAAATAAGTGTAACAATTTAAAAGTCTATAAAGGAAGAAAAAAATTGTGTTTATAACTATGGATACATAATTATACATTTAATAATATCATTTTCCATTACTATATTGGTCCAACAAGTTTAATATTTATAATAATTTGTATAAATTTATTTAAGTTTTTTTGTATTAGTAAATTCGATAAAATATATTGTAGTAGATTTTTAATTTATTATAAATGTTTGATTTAATTGAAAGTTTCTTGATATATTATGTGTCATGTCTTTATTAAACAAATGAAAGATAACTTTGCATAATAAGTCTTAATTTTATAATTTTAAAGTACATTTATAATAAAATTTAATATTTAATTTTTTAATTACCTTTGATTCTATGTTTTATTTTCTATGAGTCTTGTCATACAATATGTATATTGTATTTATTTTTCTTATTTTTCTTAAGGTTATTTACATTTAAACCCATTAATTTATTAATAATAATTTCATTCAAAAAGTTAAACTAAACTTAAATTAGTAATAAAACATTTTATGTATTGAAATATCTTAAATTGAAAAATGTAGCAGTGATTATACGTAATTATACAAGTATTATAGAGTCGGAACACTGAACATTATTTTTTTATTTAAAAGTTAATTTTATTAGTAAGTTATTACTTATTATAATTTGTGTGAACATAAATATACTATAATATTGTTGAAGGTTTTATTATAAGATAAAAACTATTTAATTTTTTTATTTAAAATTATATTGCCACTTTTAAATGTTTGTTAAAATATTAGCGTATTTCATATTCATCAATTTTAGTTCCTTATATTTATTTTAAAAGTTACAACTTATAACACAAAGAATCTTTATTATTAGTAAATAAATATAAGAAACTGTTTTAAAAAAAATAAAAGTAGATGATGAGACCAATAGGTACTTAACAGTTATACCAAGATTATTAAATATCCAAAGTCCATAATTAATAATTTGATTTATATATATATTATTTTTAAGCTTTAATTTCAGCAGTATTTCTTCTTATATAGTTGTATACACATTGTTAATTTTTACTTGGGGCACTATGTATTAATTGTCTAACATTTTGTAGCCATATCAAAATATAACTAACATCTCCTCCTCCTCTCAATACGACATTACTTGGTGAACATTTTAAGCCTTTACCGCTTCTCATTTATATTTTCCATTTACTAAAATAATTTGACTGACTATTGTACCCAGCTCTAGATCACCTACAATATATTCTACTAGCTTTTTACGATGCCAATACTAGCGGTGATTCTATAAGTTATTGAACAATTTAATAAAAATATATCTTAAACAGAATTTCTCCAATTTCAAGACCAATTTATTTTTAAAAAATAAAGAATCTATAATTATATTATATTTATATAAAAATATATATTTACAGTGATTTTGTAATTCACCATAATTAACTAGTTAATAATAACATTGTACAAGGTATAATTTATTAATTTAATTTAAAATAAAAAGTTGTATGATTATTGTATTCTTTTTTATATTTTTTGAATTCTGACTTACTATAAAATATTAGTTTTATTTTGCTATACACTTATAAACATGTAATTTTCACAGTAAATAACAAAAAGTATACTGAATTATATTTTTACATGTATTTATATTTGAAATATAATATATTTTATTTATATAATTTATTATGAATTATAAAATATATTTTACGTGACTCCAAAAATTCAATAGGGTCAATGGGCCATAGTTTAAAAACCTCTGTCTTAAACAATTTATCCGGTCATAGATAGTCTTAATTACTTGTTAGCAGGTATTTTTAATATAGTAATTACATAGGTCTTTGTCAGTAGTTCTCTGAACGTAGAACGTGGTGAAATGGGGCATTTTATGTATATTTTTTAAGATTGAAAATAATCGGTTTGATCAAAATGATTGAAACTTGAAATATATAATCTATACGCATGAATACAGCTATTCATGGTTTTTTTTTAAAGTTCTTATACTTTTTTTTGTTCTAAAAATTGGTCTACCTTACACAAGTGTATGGGGTGAAGTGGACAACTAGCTAAATTTCTGAATATAAAACTGTTGTTAAATACTTTCCATAAAATTTGATTTAATCTCATAGATTTAACTCCCAGTGTTAAATGCTGTTCAGTGTACTTCAAATTATAGCGACCAGTATAATTTTTCAAGTAGCTTCTTGGTGTTTTGAGGGTGCCCGATTCACCAGACGTTTTTAAAGTGTTTTACAAATTGTTTCGCCAAAAACTTAATAACAACACATTTACCACTATGATTGAAACAATTAATTTATATGAACTTATTGATAAGATTATTAAGAGTGAACATTTTCTATTTAGTTGCTCACTTTTGAGATATTAATGACTTTTTAAAGACTTTTAAATAAAAACAAACAAAGTAGTTTCCTGTTTGGGCAACAAAATAATTTCGATTACATAATTTGTACGTATTGTTGTCATTAGTATCGAAAATTGTTCGTTATCACCCTGCTATGGAGGTAGAGTTGATAAAATTAATTTGTATATAACCATGTCAAAGTTATGCTGATAAACATTCAAAAAAATCAGAATTGGCCACTCCATGTCTTCATCACAGTTGCAGGTTCACTTCACCATGTCTTATTGTACCTATTTTAAAATTTTAATATATTGTCCTCTACGGGAATTTTTAAGCATAGTTCTGTGATGAATATGTCTTGAGTATAGAAAATAAAGTATTACTTTAAACTTTTAAGATTTCCTTTAATAATTGTTCTATTACTTTCAAAAATTAGAATATTATTTTACAATAATTAGATGGTCTGGCAGTAAGTTGTAACAAAATATATTTTATAGTGTTTGTGTTAAGAGAATGTCACACCCGCATGACGTGTTTGTCTCCGTCTTACAAATGTACACCATATCAAAAACTGGCACAACTTTCCTCGCACCATATTTTTTTGTAGAACTACCAAATGTTCACAACACGTAAATAAGAACTTAATCTGTGCAACAGCGTGCTCTTTTTTTAATACTTAGCACTATCCAATCATTTTTTATAAGCAAATAACTTTTATTGTATTTATGTTATCTAAAATATGGACACTCTGTTGCATAGATAATTTTCCACCCTACATGTTCAGAAATTTTATAGCCACTACAACTAACACAGAAAGATAAAAGTTGCCCCGCGCTAAACAGTTTTTCCTATGTTGTACATTTGTAAGACGGAGACTACACATGCGGGTGTGACATCCTCTTTAATATTATTAAGTCGTGACCACAAACTCAAGGTTTTCACTATAAGTATATCCTTACGGGTTACATACATCTACATTATACATAGTGTATAGAAAACGTTTCATTTGCTTAGCATAATATACATCTATTATTTCTATATTTTATTTTTCAAACAGATGAAAAAAAAGAACCTTCAGTTTCATCACAAGTTCATTCCACCGAGGTATTTGCACTACTTCTCTTCGTCTCATATGCTTAATATTATGCAAGATAATAAAATAATATACCTATTTATGTTTTTCAGTGTCCAAATAATTATTTTGCAAGTTTATTAGGAGCCACTAGTGGTTTGTTATACCAGTCCACAAGTACCAAAACTCCGAACAAAAACAACAAAGGTAGGTATATACTTACCTACCTTTATTAAATTAATTGTGAAATGAGTTTAATGGGATTTATCAACGACAAAGTTTACAATTATTTTTTGGATGTTCTTTTTTAGGAATATATTACGAGAATCACATTGTCGAATATTCTTTGAATGATGAAAACTTGTTTTTGTCGTCCGAAGCTAGACAAGTGTTAGAAATTCCGGTAATGCTTGTAACCCTAGACCCTACTGAGAACAAGTGTTTTGGAAATTCATTAAATCGGTACTTCTTAGAAAATTACATTGGCTATGACGAATTACTGTACGCCTCTATTAAAGCTGTGGCTAAATTTGAAGGAAACAAAGGCTTTTTAAGGTAAAGACTTACAGTCGTAGGTACATGCCGAAAATAATTGAAATTTATTAATATAGGTACCTAATGTAGATAATATTATTATTGTTTTATGTTTCAGAAATGTCATTTCCTGGAAACATTACCCAATTGTGGTGAAAACACAGAAAGATATAACATCATATATTTTTTCGTTTATCATTATGATATCATTTGTTAGTATAAAATTGTTGTTTATTATAATATAATAAATAATTTTACTATACATTTTATACAATATATATAATTATATAATTTTAAGTATGATAGAATGAAGTAATTGAGTAGGTAACTGTAATAGATTTGCTAAATTGTAATTCAATGCTAAATCATTATGAGATTGTTTGGCAGCCTATACCTACTTCTAGATGACATTTTATTAGTATAATTTCTATAATTATATTTATATTGGTGTAAGTAATTAATTGTTGTATTAGTCATTCAATAGGTTGAACTAATTTTTGACAAAAACAAATTGCATATATTAAAGAAAATAGATTATAATATAGTCTAATAAATATAATTAGAGTTATGATGTTGATGACTCTTGCATTTTTTTTTTAAAATATATTTCATGCTTTCTTAATTCAGAATAAATTATTATTTTTTGTATTTTTTCTCATTTTTAGGCATTTTAAGCTTTAAATGCATTTCATTGTTGTCTAACATAATTTTTTTCATATTTTATGTAATTTTTTTGTGTTTTTTATGTGATAAACATCCTAATTCTAGTAATTATAATTATAATATTATTTCATACAATATTACCTGCTATTGCTAATTTATAAGTCATCTGGAAAGTAGACTATGGTAATCGTGTGAATAGGTTCATGATATAAATAGCTCAAAAACAATCTAAATTTTTTTTTTGATATATTGAGTTAAGTCAATACATAGACAGTGGCAAAGAGTTTCAAATCAATATATAATTGCAATATATTTAAATTTCAGTCAGAAAAGTAAATGTGGGATCTTATATTAAATTGTCTAGGTTTTTACCAACATTTATACATAATTGAATAGGTATTCTAAAAGTTATTAATCGACAAAACTTCAAAAAAAACTAAAATTAATTAAATATGCCTATAAATAATTCTAAAATTGTATCTTGTTTTTTTTTTTAAAATTGGTCATACTAACATTTAGTGATAATGTAAAGTAGGTATCTGCTGTTAGTATTTAAATATTATGGAAATTACCACATTATTTATAATAGGTATATCAAATCTAGTAAATGCTAGTATAAATATTTGGTGAAAAATGTAAAACAAATAATATCTATTACAATTAGGGTTGCCACCTTTGAAAGAAAGCAGCCCCGGAGACAGGCCGATAAGCAAAAAAAAAAAAAAAAAAAGGTCGTTTAGTCATAAATGTGGTCATTAATGAATTACTTTTCAAATTCTGTGTAGTTTTATAATATCGATGCACGGTTACACTGACACAAAAATTAAAAGCAGATATTCGGATTCGTTCAAACACACTCGACTGTGATGTTGAAACAGATTCGTAAAATCGTAATCGTAGACTCATAAAATCATAAACCGTAGTTCATAATCTTATTATTCTTGTTATCTTGAATAAATGGTTTTTATACCGGAAAATAATAAAAAAAAAGGCATAATAATAAAAAATCGTGTGTTATCTTATCTTTATCTCCGACCCGGAGAATAATTCACTGAACCCGGAGCCCGTAGATTTATACGTAAACCCGGATTCTCCGGGTGAAACCCGGAGAGGTGGCAACCCTAATTACAATAACAAAATAAAATTGATTTTGTCGGAAACTAGGTAGATTTCATATATGAGTACCTAGTTTTGTTTAAAAATTCTCATTTTTACATGACTTTTTTGCTTTTCCTGATTATTTTAATACTTACGTACTTTTATTTTTAATAATTATCTAAGTTGATTAGTTTTTTTTTTTGTTTTTGCTTTCAGACTTGCGTGATTTCATTTTACATGAGGCACTTTAATTGTCAACTAGCCGTTGCCTTCAATTATTTACTAAACCATTTTAACGGTAATAAATAAATGATGATAATAATTATTATTAAAAAATGTCTTATGATTTGATTTTATATTGCTGGTTGTTATTTTTTCAGGGGAAGTTGGCCTGCATAAGTGTTATATGTGTTTTTTGGGTTTTTTGGGTAAGTGAAATAAATTTCAACATTAATCCGTTTGACCTTTGGTACGATTTTTCGTCTCAAGTCGCAACTTAATAATCTTATTACTGTAACTTTGCCAACGTTGTATACGCCATTGAAGTTCACTGACGCCACGAAATCCATCCCTCAAAAATATAATTTTATGCACTAACAATTAAGCATTTAGTCAACTTGATAATTGATAATGTTGTGCTTTTGTGCCAATAATAAATAAACGTCGATGAAAGCGTTGGTTGGTCGCGTATAAAAGGGTTTTTTTTCTCTCTGATGACGATATGCGTTTGCTTACAGTTATCTTAACAAATATTATTGTTTATATTCCTGACAGGCCTATCATCATTAATATGGTTATATTTCAAAGATGTCGATGCATTGTTTTACATCATGTTGATCGTCGTAACGGCTGAAATTTACTACGCGGTGTTCACCCATAGTGAGACCACGAAAAAACATTGGCCAAAGTGAGTACCTGTCTATTATTATTATACATTTATACTTATAATTTAAAAACTATTATTATTTTCATTGTATATTATATATTTATATGTTTACCTGTTTTCGGATGAGGGGGATCTGGTCAATTTGGTTGTAGATAAGAGAAGGTTACGCAAATTTTAGGAGATGCTAAAATTATGTATAATATCCGTCACACATTCACACTAAACTCACAAGTCCTAGGCGCCAGGTTTTAAAAAATTTATTTTCTCATATATTATTATTTATTATTGTTAAGCGCTTTTTAGGGACTCTCACTAAAGGTAAATCTATATGAAAGTAAAAGTATTCCACAGAATTTCAAACATGGTTCTGGACCCCGCAAAACAATTAAGTACCAGGCCACGACTCCGGGCTTGCATTTGAAAAAAAATTCTGTTTTATGTTATTTACAATTAAAACGTTACTTATTTTTTGAGTTTATCGTTATTTAGAACTAAAACGTTGTACAAGTCTTGTGTTCATCTTTATTTAAAATAGTGTTAATACCTATACAATTTAAAAATAGTAACTAATTCGGGTAGGTAATGGCCGGATACAAAATATCCAGTCAATTCCAGTGCCAAGATCGTGGAGCGCGAAGTAATAAAAAAAAATAACTGCACGACGGTGTGTGTATAGTATATCGAAGCAGGAGTTGCTAATTTAAACTGTGTAAAATACAGGTACATTTATTAAACTACAAAACTAATTTTCTAATGCATCAATTAACTCCTAGTAAACTCCAAAACATCAGAAATATTGTGTAGAATGTGCTTTTGTAAAAAATTATAAAAACCGTACGTTTAGAAATTAAGTTATAAATGATTAAGTGTGAACTTTTTAATGGGAATTTATGTTAAATTCATAATCACGGTAACCGTCGTCGTCGTAGTCGTCGATGCATCAGCGTTGCCAATGAAACCAACAATATTACATTCTTATACATTATTGTAAATACTCAATATTTGATAACGATAAAAATTAGTGATATCTCAACAAAATCCCTTCGTAAAATACGTGTAAAAATGGTTAAGTAAAAAAAAAATATAAGATCTCTAAGCACTATAAATGTGTGATATCATGAAAAAATGTTAAGTATATTGAATTTAAGTAAACTTATTTTGTTTCAAAAATGTATTTACTTGGCGAGGAATTATTTAGAATAGTATATAGGTAAATATTAATAATAATATTTTTAAAATAATAATAAGTTATATTTTAATAGTCCTTCGCCATTTTTTGTTCATCACACTTTGTTTCTTTCAAGAAATATTTCCTCGCCAAGTAAATTAATTATTGAAACAAAATAAGTTTACTTTAATTCAATACACTTAGAATTTATTCATGATATCGCATCTTTATAGTACTTAAAGATCTTATATTTTTTTTACTTAGTTATTTTTACATGTAGTTTACGAAGGTTATTTTTGTTGTCATAATATAATTAATTCTTAGATTGTCGGGTGAAATTAATGTTTCTACGAAACCAATAGACCTTTTAACTTTTAAGTAAATAGATTTTCGTTTTGCGTTATTTTTCGATCAATAACATTCTATAAATAACGTTTTGTTTTATTTTTAGTTTAATGATATTCTATAAATTACGTTTTGCGTTATTTTTTGCCTAATGATACATAATATTATATTTTGTCAATCGTTATGTTTTGTTTTGCGGTATTAAATTTTTTTTGTATATCACTTCCCGTAATAATTACGTTTACAAATTTCAATCGTTTTTTTGTCAAATATAGGGGGAGAGGGTGGATGTAGCTAATTTTTTAACATATGTACACTATTTTATCATTAAAAATATCACTTTTGGTTATAACTACTATCAATTTTTCAAACTATGGTAAATAGAAACCTTATTAATATTTATATTTTTATATTAACTCAACTTCATTATTGTTATTTATTTGTATATTGACTAATATATTATTACATATTACACTTACTAAGTAAATAATTGTCAAATTATTAGGTACCAAAAACTATATCATATGACAACATGGGACAAACAATAATAATTGTAGACGACATAGTCCCTTGAAATACATCCCACATACATGTGTCGTGATTTTTGACACTAGTTGTAGCTCATAATAAATATTTTCAATTGTCATATTGTAGGGTATTTGATATTACCAGCTACCTATTTGTCCGCAGATGTGTTCACTGTCATAGTACTAATTTACTATTTAATTAATAATATTTTTGATTTTACCCGAACTCTGTTAAAAAACCACTTAGAACTTTTGTTTGGTGTTTCTTAATATGCGTGTATGTTTAGTCCGATTTATGTAAGTCGAATATTTTATATTTATGATTTATTAGAGTTCATTAAAATAAATCATTAAGAGTGGACTTTTATATTTTTATAAATATTACAAAAATGACACAATTCGTAATGATGTATGTTTATAACTGTTTCAATCGGTTCCACACAAAAAAACTTGCTGATGTAAATAACAGATTTATTACAAAAATGAATTGCATTCTTTAACAGGAAAAAAACTCCTGCAAATAAAATATTAAACAAACCTTAATCTGGTTTACCGGGCGTTTTGTATAGGCAATATAAGTACATTCCTGATGTTATGGCTCGGCGGTGTTATTGTACAATTATGTCAAATTGTATGTGATTTAAATATTTATGTTTTGAACAAGTTGTTTCTCAACACAAAACTAATTGTTAAAGTCGTTAATGAATTCGAAATTTAAGTGTTAAAACTCTGATCGTATCACTCACACACGCACAATAAACAATATAGCCAAATGCAATATTCGAAAAGCTTATAAAAACACTTTATTGGGTGTTTAATTATTTTGTTGGTTACCTATCAGCCGTCGGTAGTTCGTATTCTGTAACGTTTGTGTCAAGCAATCGAAAAAATTTTGTTTGACTGTCGCTAATTGTGAAGAGAATGGCACTGGGTGGGAAAACACTAGCACAGTTTATTAGACACTGGAAAAGAAACATAATTATTATATTTTTATATAATATATTCAGATTACATACTTTAAAAGCACCACGAATAATATTTTTAAATCAAAACAGAATATCTAAAATCGATATTCTTCATTTAAATATATAATGCTGTCTTAATCTAAAGTTAAGATGTCTATAAAAAAAATACTGTGTTAATAATTTTTAGATTTTTAGATTTTTTTTTTTACAGTACCTACCTATGAACTATTTATGTGAAATCTGGTATTTAATATTCGACCATAAGCTATGATAATCGAACATTTTATAAATGTTTAACTACAAAATGATTTACAAATGGGTACCTACTAATGAGCAACAACAGCTATTATAATAATTATGACTTTATGAGGAAATCTGTATCTAATAAGTTTTCAAGCTCTTTTACACAACGAAAAATCAATCAGTGTCTCCATCGTAGATTTCAAAATGAATTGTACGGTGTTATGTTTAATGTATATTGTATAATATACCCATATTATGCGCGTAGGTATATTAAATGTATAATATTATAATAATATTTACTATCTACAGCTATATACAACGTTCGCCTCGATAGAGAACGCCGAGGTTATTGATATGGGACAAAAAAAAATGTAAAATTTTAAAATACCTTATGCACACACACGTTCGTCCGTCGATTTCTAAAATATAATATCGCAAATTGATTCACATTAAAATATTCTGTAGAGTTTCAAAAAAAACTAACATTTTCCCTTGTGAACGTGGTCTGCAAAATGATTCATATAATATATTTACCTCGATCCACCCGTTTTAGGTTCCTTTCTTTGTATGTTTTTTTAAGATTCAAATACAAGTTTAGGTGCCAGAAACTGAATAAAAAAAAATTCAATTTAATTTTAAACTTTCAAGTTCAAATTTTGATAAAATTGGATATTCAAATGTAAATAATTGATTTCTCATACGATGTTTTTATTTTGTTGTAGGTAATTCAATAAAAAATAACCATTGATACTTGTAATTTTCACCAAAAATTAATTTTATGAATTTTTAATAAATAAGAATAATATAATTTTATTTATAATGATAGTTTTACACTTTTACACTTTTGCGTTTTAAAAACATTTAAAATTATTTTGAGTTTTTTATGGACATGTGAAGTTTTAAATTTTTTCAATAAATGACAATAAAATGTTTTTGTTGGGTCAAAAAGTTTGAACATGTAATACTAAGTTCCTCATAAGTTGTAATAATAGCAGCCCAACAACATTAAAGATAGTTTTACTGCCCTAAACGTTGGTGACAGACACAAAAATATAAATTTAAAAAAAAAAAACACACATCATTGAAAAAATCAATACATTCATTGCTCCTAACAGAATCTAAAATATAATGTCGATAAATGGAAAAACTCAAATAAAGTTTGAAAGTACGATAAGTAATTAGTTATAACTTATCGATGATTTAACTTTTGGCATTTTAAAACAAAGTTACTACACACAAACGGCGAAAATACAACGTAACACACGAGTACAGGCACACGAGACGACTATATAAAATTAATTGACTATAATACAACGTTGATAATCGGCGATTAATAATCGCAGTAGAAATCGACAAAAAAAAAACCCAACAAAATTAGAACCAAATACCTAATACGAAATTATCGTAGTATTATACCTATATATTAACACTGTACGGCGTTGCATCATCGTAATCGGCCTATTTACTTAATCTAGAGGTACATAAGTACATTTACAATTTATTTGATAATTCAATTGACAAAAATCTAAAAACACGTTTAATAAAATATAATTTCATAAAATGTTGACAGATTTTGATTCAAAAACAGGTAAAAATGCAAAAGAGTCTCAAAAACCCCAAAAAAAGCAATAAAAACTAAAAAATCGTAAAATACCTATGCAAAAAAATGCAAAATAAAATTTTTAATTTGAGTTCTCTGTATCATGAAACACATTTTTAGCTTACTCTGCTATTTTTTAAGCATCTCATAAGAAATATGCAAATGCTATAAAATCCCAACCCTGGTAATAACGATAAACATTAAAATTGAATAACGTTTAAAAACCCGAAACCGTAAAAACGATTTATTTATTTTATATTTTAGTCCTGCACTTAAAAATGTTATACAATTTAAAATTTTCATTTATTTCCATTAGTTATAATATATATTATTCAAGCGGTTTGTACCTGTTCGTTAGATAGTGCAAACACGAAGAGACACCATATAGGTATATTTGTAATTTGTATATCTTAATATTTATAGGCACGTGTTATAACCTATTTATATAGGTACATCGAACATAGCATATTTTGTAAATCTATTATTTTTCTGTTCCAGGTTTTTCTATCTGTACCTGTTTATGTTCTATGCTTACGACTATCGGTTCAACGGCCAGTACAGATCCTTGAGTCTCACCTGTTCATGGTCTTTTATACTGGTAATTCTAAATGGCTTTTTTTATTGTAAAATTAAATTAAGTTTAATGATAATATTCATACCTGTATAGTTTTTTAAAATATTACAATGTATTAATGACAAAGAACTAACTCGTAATGTTTCTCTCAAATGTTAAAAAAAAAAGTAAAAACTGAGCTAAAACTTTGAATATTTAACCTAAATGTCACAAAAAAAAAATAACTAAAAACCGGAGAGAATTAAAGAGAATAAAAATGTAGTTATTAAGATTTGTATGTTATTTAAACATATTTTAAGCTTGGAAAGCATCGTTTATGATGCCCCAAAAAATGGTGCATAAGTCATAATCATCCGGGCCCCATAATAAGTACATATTATATTACAGTATAGTCACTCGATAATTCGAAAAACTCCATAAATCGAACTAAACTCTGAGTCCCCTGAGAAAACCTCTATAATTAGAAGAAAATACATGTAGTTCCGGTCCCCTCGATAATTCGAAATGTCTGTCGGTGGGACATACTCTACAATTCAAATTTTTTTCCACGAACCTCCATAGTTCGAATTGTCTGACGGTAGGACACCCTCTACAATTCGAATTATTTTCCACGAATCTCTATAATTTGAATTTTCTTAACGCTATTAGGTATATGTAAGTTCAATGTTCATATGTATGTACATTGTACATGTAAAAATTATGTACAATCTATTTGACGTACTCTTAATGAAACTAATAACGACGGTGGTTAAATATTATCATAACATTTTTCACCCATCTTTAATTCGAATTAATTTGTTTTCCCTTGATTATTCGAAAAACTCTATAAATTGAATTTTTAACTAAATCCCCTGAATTTCAAATTATCGAGTGACTACTGTATAACGGCTGCAGCGTGTTACCACCGTGTAATCAGACTCTCTTATATTATATTAGGCATAATATGTAGATAATATACAGACGGAAAATTAAAACTCATTTCGCAGTATTTTTAAATATTTTGGAGCATATTGCTGTTGTTTTGATTATATTACCTATTACGATTCTATTCGTGGTTTAGGTGCGTATATATTATCTTAACTATACATTTATTCCATGTATCGCGAGTGGCGCATAATCGCGGCTGTACACATTTGTAGTTTTATTTCTTTAAACTTTTTTTCCTCAGCATTCCATGATATACTTTTATCACCACATCGAACTGCCATACGTGGTGCGGCAAATCGAACTGGAGGAGATGTTTAGCCAGCGGCAACTGCAAAATTTGAGGCGACAGGGCCGTCCACCCAGCCGCCGGGGATTTCGTGCTGCACCCTGAATGCTGTGACGGTGTGATCTACAGTCATTAGTCAGGTCCAGAATTTCAGCCCGGAGAACGGACTGAATTGCTGGCAATTAGATGTTTTTTTTATATTAATATAAGTATTAATTGTTTGTGACTTTTCAATATTATTTTATGTGTAACGATAATAATAGTTATCAAAAAACTATGATTATAACGTGTGACGAAAAAAGATATCACATATGACCGAACAACTTTATTATTATACCGAGTGATCCATCGAATGAAACACTCCCTCAAAAACTATTAGAAATATTCGTTTTATATCATTTAAAGTATTAAAAACATTTTCTAAGAATGTACATTATAATATTTTATTATCGTTATTGTTTTTCAATTATAATTTTTTTAATGACAACACGCATTTTTATTTTCATATTACAAAGCTCAATATTTTTTGGAGTACTTCCATGTATAGAAATCAAATTTTAGACTAGTATAGTTTATGACTTATTACTTATTGGACATACCTATTTAAAATTTAAACGACGAAGTGGAGTATTACTACTCCACTCATCTAAACTTTAAGCACTTTTAAATATAATAATCTACTTGTTAAAAAATTCAATTTTATTGATCAAAATACTACTAATAATATTCTACTTAGGTATATGGAATTAAAAATGTATGTCATCATTGAAAAGAATAATTAACATGAAATTGACAACGATAAAAATTATAATTTTTTCCAAATATGTCGTCTTGTAACGACTTGAAATTATACCAAAATAAATATTAATATTTTTCGAAATAATTCATAACTTACGTTAAATGGATCACCCCGTATACATACGTATTTGACAATTAATGTAAATTTCAAATCGTAATCAAATAATCAAATACGTCAGTTCCACACTCCCACCACCTACTCCGACGTCTTCAATTGCCGTACCGATTGCAGAACCACCATAATTTATGTTAAACTTACCGGCCAATAAAACACAATAATTACAAATAAAACAACGGAACCGCCGACTGCTGCCAGAATCGGGCGTTTTTTTTGATTTTATTTTTCCCGTTTTTATTTAAGATTTTTTTTAAATTTAACGGTGTATGAAACTACCATCATAAGGAAGTCGCACGGTTTGCACTGAGAAAAATGAAAACAAATCAAATTGTATTTAACTGTACACTTTTTTTTTTTTTACTATGATATTGCCATATTTTATTTGATTATGGTATGGCCGGTATGATTTTTTCTGTTTGTCCTTAACTATTATTATTGTTGTAATTGTTATCCATGAATTATTACTTAATTTATTGGACGACCATAATATTATTATTGTAATTTTTCACTTAACTGCATATTGATAAACGAATAATGATTATTGTTATTAATATTATTGTTACATCATAATCATTATTCCTATATATTGGTCCGGAGTTAGGTATATGCCACCACGAACTTTCTCCGGCCCACTATTATTATTATAATAAATTTTTATCATTATTATTATTACAGTATTTTGGTCAGGAGTTTTATGCCTGCGCGATCTTTTCTAGCCTAGCGCCTGTATCTATTAAAGATTGAAATATTTAACTAAACTTTTGTAATCATTTATTACTCCCAATTCTCTTACATTGATGTTGGGTGTATATATTTGGGTCGCTGTAAATTGCGGCCCATTTTTAAGTTTTTTTATGTAAATTGCGTCCCGGGCATGTTTTGTACATACGTAAACTGCGGCCTGGCTATATTTTATACATACGTTAATTGGGGCCTGGGTATAATTTTTATTACCTACACAAATATTTTTTATTTATAAGTAATAATCACGTCTAAGGCTTTTTGCAAAATCAATATTCTCCTTCTCATTTTTCAGACTTATTACTGTCAATATAATTGTATTAATATTGGTATGATTAAAAATATTGGTTTTGCTGTTTTTTTGTTTTTAATTAAAAAATACATTATTAGCAATTAGTAATAATGTGTCTGTAAAAATGTGTATGGTTAAAAAATGCATTATTAAATTAATTTATTAGAAAAAAATTTGTAAGATAATGCTAGCACATAGTCTAACGTAGTAGTTTTTTTGCTTGCAATTCATACATTTTGTTATGTATAAATGTTTCTTTTTCAGTAATATTCTTGCTTTTTGTTCTCAAACTTCACGTATCACATTGCATGTTTTTTTAAAATGTCAATGAAATTGAATGTTTGGGTGTGATGAATTGAATGAGCTGTTTAATTTTTATAAAATGATTCACAATTGTTTGTTGTGCGCATCGTTGATGATACAAATCTGGCCCATATCTGTGGTGGCAACTCTGCGTCGTTGGTAAAATATGTTTCTAATATGTAGTCAGTAAATTGTATTTTTTTACCATCTACAAATTTATAGTGTCCGAATTGCATAGCACTTTTAAATTGCTGAACTATATTTGTTTCTTTACTATAAACTAATAAAAAATTTTCATTTTTATTTGTTTTAAATTCCATGTTGTCAAAAAATGTAGTGTAATTCCAACAACGAAAACTTATGAGAAGTCTTGTATTACATATTCAAAAGTCAATCCTAGTAGTCAGTCCTAATATTCCTTAGGTATGAATATTAAAAAAAGAGGATAAGTGGGTGTTGCTCTGCTGTACAGTAGGTTACAAGTCTGTCACCATTGCATGAAATATTATTTCGTTTGAATAAATTAAATAAGAGCCTCATCTAAAAAATATTGGACTGTGCCTCGAAGTCACTGCATAGGAATAGAGATGTGAGTTTGTATTATACTAATTATTGTATACAGTGGTATACAATTATATTGTACAAGGTATTATACACATGGTATAAAATGATTTTAATACGGATTGTGTAAAAAAATATATATTAGTCAATATTATTAATAAATTAATTAAATTTTTATGAAATAATTCAGTATAAATAGTAATTACTTTATTACATTAACCTTCAATAGGTCGTGCGGGGTAATTTATTACCCCAACTAATTTTAAACAATGTTTTAATATTATTTAGATTGGTATAAATATGGTGGGATTTTATCTAGCTTCTATTTATATGTCATATTTATAAAATTAATGTTAAACATTTTTTAATAATATAACATAATATCATCTATTTGTCTAATAAGTAAAAAAATAAAACAAATTTAAATTAAAAGTATTAATTTCTATTTTTGTTTTATTCTTCAGAAAATGCTAAATTTAAAATAAATAAATTTGTAAAAAATATATATATTTAATCAAGGGAAATTTTAGGATGGAATAGGTACTCGTAACCTGCTAACCTGCTCGACCAACCGAAGTTTAATTTAATTTATTTCTAGTCTTCAAATATATCAAGATTAGGAGCATGACTTCAAATATTAATTTACACTCCAATTGCTTTTAGATTTTGAGCAGAGAGAGGGATCAAGTGGTTTTACATTGGTTTTAATTTCTTTATTTTTTTAATTCTGTATCCAAAATTTCTACCAGAAGGAGTGCTTTGATTTGAACATTTAGTATTTTATTCTTTTAACAATTAGATCAATATGGTACTTTAGAAGATCATTTTTAGATGTTCTCATTAGTTCTTTAATTAAGCCATTTAAAAATGTATCATAATCTATATAATATTTAAAAATGCACCTATCCTTTGTCATACAAGCACTTTTGAACTAATTTACTGATTTGGATGATTTTTTTTTCTGTTCTGTTCATAATTGTCAGGTCAAAGTTTACTCGAAAGAAAACTTAATAAATAATACTGTAAAAAAAAAAAAAATAATAAAACATAATACTGCAATGAAAATACTTGCAGAAAGGGTCAATATAGGCAGTTTTGTATACAGCTATGAACAATATTCTTCATGAGGAGATCTATTCCTGTTTAAGGGGCTTTGTGAATACCTACTAGATTCTAAAGAACATTTTATAGGCAACTTTGTATGCATTTAGCTGTTGGCCAAGAAATTGTGTTATTTATAAGTTATAAGTTATAAATATTTTAATCCATAGTGTGAGCAGCATAGGAGCAACTAGACCAATAATTTTGGACAATTCATAATGAGTTCACAGCCCTCCAGAACGTTAACACAGTATAAATATTTTAATTTATTGAATATTATTTTATTTATAAATATTATCAATTATTTATTTTTCTTAGTATATTTATGCAATTTATTAAAATTTTTTTATTCTGACAATTTGGACTAGAAGTAGAACTAATAATTGGAAATAATTTTAATGTTTTAATCACATTACGTGTCCTGTGGGTGATTGGTCAGTATTATGGATGGTTTTAATTAATTAATGATATAAAATCATTTTTTCCTACAAAATAATGATGATGAATTTTGTAAGAATGTGAACTTTAATTGCAAATGAAAAATAGTCACTTTATATCTTTTATAATGTGAATTTTCAATTTTCATATCCGTTAAATGTATCCAACTACTTACCATATTCACTTTCCAGTCAAAGATACTGAAGTCCAAACAAGTTATGTGTTTCTTTGCAATTTAAAATAATGTTGATGGTTTGCTTGCTCAGCAAATTTGTATTGCCTAAAAATGAAAACTTTATTAATAATATGTTAGTGCACCATGTGAACTTAAAATTATTTTCTTCTAACATTAATTCTTTGTATATTACATATAATTGCAATATTGGCAATAAATGCTTGTGTATATAATTAATGTTTGTTATATTATGTCCCATACTTGTTAAATTGTTCTTAAACAACTAGGGGAAATAATTCAAAATTAATATTAAATTAATGAACATTTGTAAGTTCATTATATTTTTAAGAAATGTAAATTAATTGTTCCATATATCGCTTATATTTGTGAACAGGTTCTATAGAAACTATAATAGGATGTCCGTAATACACTTTCAAACTATTTGACATAGCAAAGAACTTTTTGCATAATTATTTCAAAAAACTAAACTAATCGAAAATAATAAAATTCCCATAAGTAGCTCAATAAGAGTAAAATTGTTAAATAAATTATTTTTCCTGAATTATCTTTTTGTTTTT